GCCAGACGAGCCGTTACATTGGCCCCATCGGTTCGTCTATACCAGCTGCATGTAGATGGCCCGCGAAGGCAGACGTCCTCGTGAGAAAACATCGACACGCCTGCTATCCAAGAGACGCACGCGGAGGAAAGCAGCTCTCTACGATTGAACATTCCAGGGTACATCCTCGCCGCTTTCAAGGGCCGCGCTAAACGCGGCCTGGCCACTCACATCGCGCATCGCATCAAAGATACAGCCAAAGTTATTTAGGCAGACAACGACTTCACATTTTGGACAATGATCGCCGGTCTCCGTTGTATACAATGTCTACAAACCGCCAACAACAATAACAACCTGGCACCTACCAACATTGCCTGCGGTGCAAGATCCCGCGATCTACATAGATGACTTCAACATCCATCACACGATGTGGGGCTACCCAGTTAACGACTTGGCAGGCGAACAAATTCTCGATTTGGCATCTGCAGAAATAGCTCTTCCTCGTTTTTGACGCCAGGCAACAAGGCACATTCCACCCTACATGGTGAAATACGGAATATAACCCATACCCGTTGCTTTGTAACCACAGATAAGAATGGCTCAGACCTTTGCCCACCATATCCAAAGTCCTGCCTTGCTTCCCGCACAGCCAGCACAAGCCCATAGTCATCCAGGTTGGCCACAGAACCCCAGTAATCACCAGCACACAAAGAACCTGCTGGAACTTTGGAAGGGCAGATTGGCCCCGTTTTATGGCTGCAGTGGAAAAGAACATCCACCACATCTCCACAAACCCTGAAAAATGTGAGCAGTTCATCGCGCTCGTGAAGAAAGCTGCCAGGAATTCGATCTCGCGGGCCTATCGAAGGTCATACACCCCTCTCTGGACTGCGGAAAGTGAAAACCTGCTTCGTGAACATCAGAGCATTGGCGACCCAGAAATCGCCACAGCCGTTCTGCAGTCACTAGATTCTGCCAGAAGAGCAAAGTGGGCAACATTTATGGAGTCTTTTGACTTCACGCACTCTAAGGGCATGGGGGTTACTGTGGAAGCTCGGTGGAGCGACACCCTCAGAACACCGCACTCCTAAGGCGACTGCTAATGGGATAGCGACGCAGGTTCTCGGCAATGCAAAAACAGTCGAAAAGAAGAACGTGCAGTAAAACAACCCGCAAAAGATACACTCTCCACCAGGGTCAAAAACTCTCCTCTTTCTGCAGCTGTACTTGCGGAAGAAATAGATGCTGCACTAGCAGTAACAAAGGCAGGTAAAGCCGCAGGAATAGATGGGATTCACCCGGAATTCCTAAAACACCTTGGCAGCGGCAAAGGAAGAACCTGGCTGGCGAAACTTTTTTCTAAAATCATTGCCATCAACAAGCTACCAAGACTTTGAAAAAAAGCAAAAGTCATTACTCTCCTCAAGCCAGGAAAACCTGCTGATGACCCACACAGCTACAGGCCAATCTCTCTTCTTTGTGCAGCCTACAAGCTACTGGAGCGAGTACTGCTCGCAGAACTCTTTCCTTTCTTGGAAGCCACCATACCTCCTGCGCAGGCAGGTTTTCGTGCACAAGGAGTTGTACACCCCTAGCTGCCACTGCAATTTAGTGGCTTAAAATACAATGTTTCGCTCCAGATGATCACTGCAAAGTATGATCCGTGTTTTGATTTAGTGTGCTGATCTTAAAGGTGCATTGAAAAATGTTGATACTCCGACTGATGCTCCTACTGTTGTGGAGTGACTCATGCAGCCAGCTATGGCTGCAGAGTTTGGAAGTACATGTTGTTAACGTCGTTTATTGTGAAAATTCGGTCACAGCTCCTATGACCTGCACTGTTTCATTGCTTTTATGGCTTTATTTTGGTGATTTTCGAAAAGTTTACTGGTTTGGCCATGTTTGTTTGTTGTAATACAGAGTTAGACTGATGGCTTTAATCTAAGTTGTCTTGTGGTTGTTGTTATTTGACTTGCATCCCACTGGGATTTTTGCACACAGTGTTGGTGTACGGTGCTTTTTATGCAATATTTTGCTGTCTTTTCTTGGATTTTCTGTTTGCACATAGTCACTATAAGATGTATTCTTGTTCATGTTTTTGTTTTTTGTTTGTTGCTGTTGCACCCGATTCAAGAGTCGAGTGGCTCACAGGGCTATACCTAATAAATGAACTTGAAATGAACTTGAACTTGCTGTGACCAGGTCCTCGCCTTGACATCACCACATCGAAGTCCAACTGCCAGCATGAACAGAAAACAGCGGCTACCTTTATCAACTTGTCCTCTGCATATGACACGTTCTGGCGACTCGCCAACACCATCAAGTGCGAAAAAACGGCTTGGCTAATCGCCAGTGTGCTCAGCGACCGACAATTTCGCGTCCATTTCGGAAACCAGATCAGTCGCCAGTCGACCTCTGGGTTACAGGAGTGAGAACTACGCAAAACAACAAAGGTCCTCCTCAGGGCCAGACGAGCCGTTACATTGGCCCCATCGTTTCGTCTATGCCAGCTGCATGTTAACAATTTCGCGTCCATCTCGGAAACCAGATCAGCCGCCCACGAACACTAAAAAATAGCCTACCGCATGGGTCGGTATTAGCACCAGCCCCATTTAATCTTAACAGCAGCGACATACCGGCCACATTAAACCGCAAGTTATATTATGCAGATGACCTAGCACTGGCCAGTCAGGCAACGGCACTCAGCACCACTCAAGACATCTTGAACACTGACCTAGAAAATTTTAGAAGATTATTACTACTCCTGGCAACGTAAGCCAAATCTGACCAAGACAGTGTCCTCAGGATTCCATCTCAACGACGCAGAGGCAAAAAGTACGCTGAAGATCGAGTTTTGCGGTAAAACCATCACCCACGACCCACTCCCGAAATACTTGGAGTGGTGGTCGATCGAAGTCGCACTCTCAGGCAACACATTGAGCAGTTCGGCAACAAGATAAAAACCCACACGAACATTATCCATAAACTGGCAGGAACTATCTGGCAACAAAACTGGCACCTTTTTTACAAGGAGTCATGTTTGCATAGACCACAATACCTGCAGCCATAATGCAAACAAAAAACACAACTCTGATAATGTACGCACTGTCCTTGAAGTTGATTGGTCCACACCCGAGACAGCTTTCCTTAGAGCCTAGTCTCACATGGGTTGGACCAGATGACGCCAAAAGGCGCACAACTCAAAGACAATGCACCATCAGAGTATGAGAGCTCGGGGTAAGCATTTACACCATTGGAACCTCATTTGCCAGTAAAAAATATGATAGTTGGTTTTTTACCCTTCTATCTGCATTATGGCTGCAGGTATTGTGGTCTATGCAAACATGACTCCTTGTAAAAAAAAAGGTGTCAGTTTTGTTGCCAGATAAAAGTGTAAAAAAACAATAATCATATTTTTTATTGGCAAATGAGGTTCCAATGGTGGCAGGAACTAGTTGTGGCTGTGATGCGCAAACACTATGGACTGCCACACTCGACCTCGTGTATTCGACGGGAGAGTATTGCTCACCAGTGTGGGGAAGCAACGCTCGCACTCAAGTTATCGACGCACAATTGAACATTGCGATGCGTGGCCATCGCAGGTATGCTGAAGTCGACGCTGACCCAGTGGCTCCCGGTGCTCACCCCACGTCGCTCCGCCGCAAATCCGTCGCGAAGCAGCGGCCAACAAGGAGTTCTAAAACATTCTCATTAACCCACCGCACCTTCCGATACTTCGGGACGTACACCCAGTGCCACCTGTTCACCTAAAATCACGTCACCCCTTCTGGATCATAGCAGCCTCACGCCATGCCGCAAATATAAATGAAGGCGTGAGATGGAAGCAAGTCTGGACTGTGGCCGACGTCAAAAATAAACCTATTCTTAGGTTTTTTCGGTAAAGTCACGTAGGTAAAAATTTTTTTTTATAAAAGTTAAATAAAAATAAAATAAAAATCACGACGTTTCGGAGGCAACACAAGCTTCCGTCTTCAGGTGGAACAGTCACAGCGCGATTGCTGTTAATTTTTATTTAACTTTTATTAATTTTAATTTTTTTACCTACGTGACTTTACCGAAAAAACCTAAGAATATGAATCCTTGCAGTCACGAAAGCTTCAAATCTAGAAAGAAAAAAAAACCTCTCATACAGGACCCTACCTTCAGACCTCCCCGTTTCACCCTTTCATGCCACCAATGGTCGACCATTAACCGATTCAAGACTGGGCCACGTGGCCGATGCGGCCACTTGATGGACAAATGGCGCCATCAAAGATTTGGTGGCCTGCGAGTGGAGCCACCAATGCCAAACGATCGACCACATTATGGACAGGTGATGAAGATCAACTCTGCATCAGATCAGAAAAGTGAGTCGATAACAAATCTAAAATTGCATCTTTAAACTGCTGCTTTGAATCCATACACAGAAATAAAAATATTACTAAATATACTACGCACTCTCGATTTAAAGCTTTCGTGACTGCAGGGATTCATCTTCTTGGTCTGTCGAGAAGGCAGACTCTGCCTTCTCGACAGACCTGTTCTCCACCTGAAGACGGCTGCTTGCATTGTGGCCGAAACGTCGTGAGAATTATTTTATTATTTTCCTTCTACGTGACTTTACCGAAAGAACCAAGAAGATACTATGCACTACACACTAATATATATTTCTTTACACTATACTACTATATATAATACTACTAAACTATACGCTACTAAACTGCTATACACTACAACACACTACACTATACACGCCACTATACACTGCACTATGCTATACACTGCACAACTATAAACTACAGTGTACGCTACTGTACACAACTTTACAATACACAGTACACTGGACACTATTATACACTACTGTATACACTACACTGCACACAACTTTACACTACAGTATACATTACACGATATACACTACTATACACTACACTATACACGATGGCATTATCATCACACAGCGTCACAGTAGCGTCACCACACGAGCGATCACGTGGAGGTGTGGTGACGTCATCGTTTACCTCTGGCGCTGAAATTCCACCAGTGGCTCGACTTCTCCTCCGTCTCTGTATGGGCGAGTTGCACAGACAAGTTAGTTCTACATACTCACAAATATATACACTATACTACTATATACTACAACACTACTACAAACTACAGTATTATATTCTACTACACTAAGATAAAATACACTATACACTACTGCACACTATACTAAAATATACTACTACACGCTACACTAATACACACTATTGTATACGCTACACTACTAGAAATTACACCGTACACTACTACACACTACACTAGGCTTTACACTACAGTGCCATTATCATACACCATCACACAGCATCACCATCACACAGCATGACGATCAAGCAGCGTCATCACAGCGTCACCACACAAGTGATCACGTGGAGGCGTGGTGACGTCATCGTTTACCTGCGCCAAAAATCCACCAGTTGGTCGACTTCTCCTCCTCTGTGTGGGGGAGTTGCACAGACAGGTTAGTTCTGTAGTGCTCGAACCGACACGACAGCTTCTTGTCTTTCCTCACCACAACTCTCCATCAACACCGCTCAATGTTCCTCCGCTCACACCAACTCACAACTCTCCGTCAATACCGCTCAATGTTCCTCCGTTCACACCGACCCACAACTCTCCGTCAATACCGCTCAATGTTCCTCCGCTCACACCAACTCACAACTCTCCGTCAATACCGCTCAATGTTCCTCCGTTCACACCGACCCACAACTCTCCGTCAACACCGCTCAATGTTCCTCCGCTCACACCAACTCACAACTCTCCGTCAACACCGCTCAATGTTCCTCCGCTCACACCAACTCACAACTCTCCGTCAACACCGCTCAATCTTTCTCCGTTCACACCAACTCACAACTGTCCGTCAACACCGCTCAATGTTCCTCCGCTCGCTCGCTGCGCTCCGCTGGCCTCGCTCACTCCCCTCTGCTCGTCCGTCGACTCTCCTCTCCGCTCTTTCTATCTCTCCAGCTCGGCTGCTCTTTATCAACTCCGTCGTCCCACCCCGTCGTAACTAACTCTGTCGTCTCTCTCTTCGGATGCTTCCGCTACTCCGCTGCTACCCTACACTATCCTCACTCTTCTCCACTGCTACCCTATGCTGTACTCACTCTATCCACTGCTACCCTACGCTGTACTCACGCTATCCACTGCTACCCTACACTATCCTCACTCTTCTCCACTGCTACCCTACGCTGTACTCACGCTATCCACTGCTACCCTACGCTGTACTCACTCTATCCACTGCTATCCTATGCTGTACTCACTCTATCCACTGCTACCCTATGCTGTACTCTCTCTATCCACTGCTACCCTACGCTGTACTCACTCTATCCACTGCTACCCTACGCTGTACTCACTCTATCCACTGCTACCCTACGCTGTACTCACTCTATCCACTGCTACCCTATGCTGTACTCTCTCTATCCACTGCTACCCTACGCTGTACTCACTCTATCTACTGCTCCGTCTCTCCATCCGTCTGTCTCTCGTCCCAGGCACCAACTCCCGTTTCACTCCACCATCCCTCACTTTATTCCTGAACCAATTTCCCCTAATTAATTAGGTCATCCCCCGCGACGCCACTCGCCCCCAGCCTCCGGTGCCACGTGGCGTTGTTTTTCCAGACACGCCGGCGCCAATCTCGGACAACAGCCCCTCTCGTCCAATCAGCGCCCTGCATCCTTAATTACCCCCGGCCACCTGCGACTCCCTTAACTATCACGCCACCTTAATTTGGACAACAACAACGGTCATTCGCCCTCACTGTCCGCCGCGTGCGTGCATACCGACCCAGCACGTGACGTGCATCTCAAGCACTACAGTTCTATACACTAACATACATATATACACAGGTATATATACACACTATACACTAAACACCACTAGACTAACATATATAGTACTACACTACTATATACTACTACACACTACACTACTATATTCTAATACTAGACTACTACACACTACAACACACTACACACTACACAACTGTATTCGACTACACCCTACACTGCTATACACTACACACCCCTACACACTACACTACAATATACTACGCTACTATATGCTACACTACACTACCACACACTACACTGCTATACACTACACGCCACTACACACTATACTACTATATAATACACTACTATACACTGCTACACCATATACTTCTACAAACTAAACTAAAATACTACGATACTGTACACTACATTACTATCCATAACTAAATACTACACTATACAATACACTACCATACACTACTACACTATATACACTACTAAACTACAACACACTGCACTATGCACTACATTATTCCACACTACACAACTACACACTACACTGCTATATACTACACTACACACTACTACACACTACTGCATCACCATCACACACCATCCCCATTAGACAGCAGCGTCATCGCAGCGTCACCACACGAGCGATCACGTGGAAGGGATTAGAGGAATAAAGTCTTGAACAATGATCTGTCGGTAAAAAAAGAGAGGATCAGTTAGAGGGTAAGAACAGGGACTGGCTCAGGGAAAAGCAAGGACAAGAAGGTTCCACAAAGGGGGCTCGAGGAGTATAAAAGGGGAGAGCACGAGGAGTGGGACGTTAGGAGGAAGTTACAAGCTGAAGACAAGAGCACAGAGCCTCGGGTCACTCTTTGTGGCTGTGTCCCAAAAAAGTGTCTCTCATTTCATAATCGTCAGAGTCCAGTGGCGGCTCCTGCAAAATCTCTCAGGGGGGGCAAATGTCTGGATGATTGATAAGGATAAGATCCACCCATGCAATGAATAAATTAACAGCTTAAGCATGTAAAGGCAACTTCACTTCTTTAATATTAATGAAAAATAAAGTGACTCTTACAATACATCTTGTTTGTTTATATACTCACTATTAAAACAAACCACTCAAGTTTATTTTATTAAAGATTCCACTAGGTAGCGATAAATTATATTGTTGGATGAAACGTGCTTACGTATGATGACGTAAGCACGTATGATGACGTAAGCACGTTAGTGCAAGCCCTCCAGGAAGCCATTGAGAATGCATTGCAGCGCCCCCGTTCGAAAAAAAACATCTTTGAATGTAAGTCTATGGGAACACTCGGGGCGATTCTCAGCCAGAGTGAAATCGCCCCAAAAGAGGCGGTACTCCACAGAACGTGACATGACGCTGATTGGACTATATCCAGGGGCTGACAGTGACGGCTAGCGTGACTCTGTGGTTGAATGACATTGGTGGTGCGTCGCCCAATCGCCCTAATGAAGTAACCGCCCCTGTCAGAGTCGTTACATATGTAGTGGATTCAACTGAGTCGCAGAAGTACTTCGTGGAGGCAACACATATTTATTAACACCAACACATTAACACAAAGGGGTTACTGCCCCTTCACCAGATAACCTATGGTGGTGGACCACCAGGCTATCTACGCTAGTTACTGGGAGTAGCTACAACAGACAGGGCCCTGGCTTGGGTCCTCTTCCACGTGTTAGTGACTTCTTCTCTTGGACGTAGATCATAGATCTTTGGATGACGACAGCAACGCAGCGCCCCGGTCCCTGTTGGGACCCCGGCTTATATGCTCCTGGGTCGTGGCTGGCCCCGCCCTTGGCCACGACCACCTTCAGGAAACATCTTGTCGTTTCTCGACCCTGACACGTGACCACCCCCTAGCCCCCGCCTGGGGCCCCTGCGTAGATCTTACTGGTCACGTGTCAACCAGAGTGCGATGGCCCAGGGTAACCTCATCAAATGGCTGACACTCTCACACTCCCTCCAGTAGGAGTCAGCACTGCACGCCACGTGTGGTGCCACTGCGCTATCCCAGCGCTCACCGAGCCACCTCTAGGGCTGGTACTACACCCACCTACGGGGTGTCTGCGATGACGATGCATCGCACGCCATGCCTCGCGAGAGCCGGAATTATTCAGTGACATTCACGATGTCACTACATACGTGATTTCGATTTAAAGCTTTCGTGACTGCAGGGATTCATCTTCTTGGTTCTTTCGGTAAAGTCACGAAGAAGGGAAATAATAAAATAATAAAAATAAAACATAATAAAATAATTCTCACGACGTTTCGGCCACAACGCAAGCAGCCGTCCTCAGGTGAAGAACAGGTCTGTCGGAAAGACAGCGTCTGAAGACAGGTCTGTCGGAAAGACAGCGTCTTCAGACAGACCTGTTCTTCACCTGAGGACGGCTGCTTGCGTTGTGGCCGAAACGTCGTGAGAATTATTTTATAATTTTTATTTTTATTATTTTATTATTTCCCTTCTACGTGATGACTTTACCGAAAGAACCAAGAAGATACATACGTGATGTCCGCGATGCGAGTACATCACACGCCGTGGCTCTCTCGGGCCGGCACCACACAGTGACATCTGAGATGTCACTACACATATACACTATACCATACACTATTATAACACACTACACTACTATATACAACTACATTACTATATACTACAATACACTACACTACCATATACTACTCCACTACTTTTTACTATACTACTACACTACTATACACTACTACACTACAACACAACTATACTCGTTGGGTCTTTCGGTAAAGTCACGTAGAGAGAAAAATTAAAAAGTCATGACGTTTCGATCGCAACACAAGCAATCGTCTTCAGGTGAAATAATACAGCAGGCGGACTGCTGATGCAGGAAGAAATATAGTGGGAGAGCTGCTGCAACCAAAGGTTATACAGGTTTTGAGATGGGTACCACCCAAGGGTAAGTGGGCGGGTCTTTAAGATTTTACAACACAACTATATACTGCACTGTACACTACAATACACTACACTATACCAGCACACACCATCACCATCACACAGTGTAATCGCAGCATCACCACACAAGCAATCACGTGGAGGTGTGTTGACGCCATCATTTACCTGCGCCGAAAATCCACCAGTTGGTCGATTTCTCCTCCGTCTCTGTGTGGGGGAGTTGCACAGACAGGTTAGTTCTACATACTCATACATATATACACTATACGTTATACTAATATATATTACTACACGCTACACTAATACACACTACTGTATACTCTACACTAATAGAAATTACACCGTACACTACAACACACTACACTACGCTTTACACTACAGTACCATTATCATACACCATCACACAACATCACCATCACACAGCATGATGATCAAGCAGCGTCATCACAGCGTCACCACACAAGTGATCACGTGGAAGCGTGGTGACGTCTTTGTTTACCTGCGCCGAAAATCCACCAGTTGGTCGACTTCTCTGTTTGGGGGAGATGCACAGGGAGGGTAGTTCAACATACTCACACACATGTATATACAGAGTATACACTATATACTACTACACACTTCTAACACTACTCTATATAGCGCTACACTACTATATACTACTACATACTAGACTACTATATTCAACTACTAGACTACTACACACTACAACACACTACACAACTGTATTCGACTACACATTACACTACAATATATTACACTACTATATACTACACTATACACTAACACACACTACACTGCTATACACGACACGTCACTATACTACTATATACTACACTACCATACACTGCTAAACAATATACTTCTACAAACAACTAATAAATCCTACACTACTATATTGTACACTACACTACTATCCAATACTAGATACTACATTATAAAATACACTACTACACTATATACTACACTACTATACACTACTAAACTACAACACACTGCACTATCATACACTGCACTATGGACTACAATATTCCACACTACACTACTATACACGACACTGCTATATACTACACTACACACTACAACAAACCACACTACTACACAATACACTACGCTATACACTACAGTACCATTATAATACAACATCACACAACATCACCATCACACCGCATCACGATCAAGCAGCGTCATCATAGCGTTACCACACAAGTGATCACGTGGATGTGTGGTGACGTCATCGTTTACCTGCGACGAAATTCCACCAGTTGGTCGACTTCTTCTCTGTTTTGGGGAGTTGCATAGAGAGGTTAGTTCTACATACTCACACACAGATATACACAGTATACACTATATACTACTACACACTACTACACTACTATATATAGCGCCACACTACTATATACTACTACACACTTCTACACTACTATATATAGTGCTACACTACTATATGCTACTACACACTACAATATACTACACTACTATATACGACACTATACACTACCACACACTACACTGTTATACACTACACGTCACTATACTACTATATACTACACTACTATACACTGCTACACAATATAGTTCTACAAACTAAACTAATATACCCGACACTACTATATTGTACACTACACTACTATCTACGACTAGATACTACACCATACAATACACTACTATACACTACTACACTATATACACTACTATACACTACTAAACTACAACACACTGCACTATTATACACTGCACTATGCACGACATTATTCCACACTACACTGTTATATACTACACTATACACTACTACATATTATTGAATCACCATCAAACACCATCACCATTAGACAGCATCACTATCAAGCAGCATCATCGCAGCGTCACGACAGAAGCGATCACGTGGAAGTGATTAGAGGAATAAGGTTTTGAACGAGGATTAGGGACATGCGGATGAAGTTACGAACTGAAGATAAAAGCACGGGGCCTAGGGTCCCTTATTGTGGCTGTGACCCAATGAAGTGTCTCTCATTATATCGTCGTCAGTCGTTAGATATACACTACACTATACACTATTATAACACACCACACAACTATATACTACTACATTACTATATACAACACTCTACACTACTATATACTACTCCACTACTATTTACTATACTACTACACTACTATACACTACTACACTACAACACAACTATATACTACTGTCCACCAACTGTACACTACTATATACACTATACTACACTGTACAAAACTGTACATTACACTGCTATATACTACACTGTACACTACTGTACACTATATTATTGGTTCTTTCGGTAAAGTCACGTAGATAGAAAATCTAAATCGAATTTAAAAAAAATTTAAAATAAAAGCAAAAAACCACGACGTTTCGATCGCAATACAAGCGGTCTTCATCAGGCGGAGAGAAAAGAGAGGGAAAGCCTCCAAATGCAACTGTTTATCAGGGCTTTCAGAGTGAGCACAGGTGTGCGGCGCAAACAGCATGGGCGGTTTAGCCAGCGCCAATGTAGGAGCAAAGCACCAGAAGTACAAGCAAAGAAAGTGTGTTAGACAATGGGGGTAGGGAGGGCGCAGAGATAGGGGGAGAGAGAGGGAGGGTAGAGATAGAGGTGGAGCTGAAGACGAGGGGCACAGTCCAAGTGTGTTAGACAATGCGGGGAGGAAGAGGGAAGAGATAGGGGGGAGAGAGAGGGAGGTAGAGATGGGGGGGGGCATTGCACCTCGCTACACCCATCCACACTGCTGACGGTAGAGATTGACAAGAAAACACAAATCAAGTCATGACCCAAAGTGGTTGATATTATCATTCCAATGATTGCCGAGTTTAAAACCGTCGTCTCGGTTTAAATTGTGGCTGTGTAGTGCCTGAAATACATGCCACACACGGGAGTGGGTGTACGTGGGCGCAGAGTACAGTGGGAGCAAACGAGGTCGAGGTTGTTATTGTTGCTAGGCGTGAAGAGAAGGCCAGAGACGGGTAGGGGGCGATTAAGGACACCGGGCGCTGATTGGCTGGGAGTTGTTATTGTCAAAATGTGATGCCACGCTGTCTGAGGACAGTAACAGGTGATAGGGGGCTATTAAGGACGCAGGGCGCTGATTGGCCGGGAAGTTGTTGTTGTCGCTAAGTGGCACTGTGTTGTCTGGAAAACGTGGCAGGTGCCAGAGGAGGCCAGGGGGTGATGGGCGTCGCGGGGGATGCCACCGATTAATTGGAGATTAATTGGCTTGGGGATAAAGAGAGGGGGTTTTGAAGCAGACGGAAGTTCGCGCCTGGGACCAGAAGAAGGATGTTGGAGCTGAAGCAGCGGAGCCAGAAGCAGTGGAGAAGTATAAGGTAGCAGTGGAGAAGTATAGGGTAGCAGTGGAGATGTATAAGGTAGCAGTGGAGAGGTATAGGGTAATAGTGGAGAAGTATAGGGTAATAGTGGAGAAGTATAGGGTAGCAGTGGAGAAGTATAGGGTAGCAGTGGAGAAGTATAGGGTAGCAGTGGAGAAGTATAGGGTAGCAGTGGAGAAGTATAGGGTAGCAGTGGAGAAGTGTAGGGTAGCAGTGGAGAAGTGTAGGGTAGCAGTGGAGAAGTGTAGGGTAGCAGTGGAGAAGTGTAGGGTAGCAGTGGAGAAGTGTAGGGTAGCAGTGGAGAAGTGTAGGGTAGCAGTGGAGAAGTGTAGGGTAGCAGTGGAGAAGTGTAGGGTAGCAGTGGAGAAGTGTAGGGTAGCAGTGGAGAAGTGTAAGGTAGCAGTGGAGAAGTGTAGGGTAGCAGTGGAGAAGTGTAGGGTAGCAGTGGAGAAGTGTAGGGTAGCAGTGGAGAAGTGTAGGGTAGCAGTGGAGAAGCGTAGGGTAGCAGTGGAGAAGTGTAGGGTAGCAGTGGAGAAGTATGAGGTAGCAGTGGAGAAGTGTAGGGTAGCAGTGGAGAAGTGTAGGGTAGCAGTGGAGAAGTATAAGGTAGCAGCGCAGAAGTATATGGTAGCAATGGAAAAGCCAGCAGAAGTGGCTGGAGTGTGACGGCGACGCCAGCAGACTAGCCGTAGCTTCAGCCGCAAACACCTTATCATAATAATAAAATAAGTATAACCCGTAAAAACAAAGTTTTTCACTATAAATCCTTTATATGCGTGGCAGCGAACTTAATATAAAGGATTTAAAAAATATATTCGCCTGTGGAGGACGCAGGGATCGATCCCGCGACCTTTGGCATGGGAAGCGAGGGCGCTACCAACTGCGCTACTCCGCCACGGCCTGTGGAGGGGTTACGCTCTTGGCTCTTACACTCTGACGTTCAGCCAAAGCCATGAATTAGTTCTATTTGAATATATGTAAAATAAATTTTTTTTGCCTAAAAAGTGTAAAATTTTGGGAATTTTTTTTTTCACGAACAATAATTGTCTGGCACAACGAGTCTGTGTGGAAAATGTCAGCTCGATTGGATCACGGGAAGTGGGTTAAAAAACGACCGAAAGATTTGCACGGTCCTAAGCAAGCAAGCACGCGAACTTAATATAAAGGATTTAAAAAACTCCTATCCAGGGGCCTACCCTGGCTCCTCCCCCCTCAACCAGTATATATATACAAGGTCGGATCTCTTGGAATTTCTCATTTACTTGATACAGCAAGCGTGCTGTGACGGTTCTACCTGAAGACGGAAGCCTGTGTTGCCTCTGAAACGTCGTGATTTTTATTTTATTTTACTTTTTATAATTTAAATGTTTTTCCTACGTGACTTTACCGGAAAAAAAAACTAAGAATACAGCTGGAGTGTGACGGCGAAGCCAGCAGAAAGCGGCTGGAGTGTGGCGGAGAAGCCGATAGTGATATGGCTGAGTGTGACGGGAGAGCCGATAAAGAGCGGCTGAACTGACGGAGAGAGTGGAGTGGAGAGTCGACGGAGGAGAGAAGCGGCGCGAGCGAGGGGAGAGCGCGCGGGAGGATTGTTGATTGGTGTTCGCTGGAGCAATGTTGATCGGTATTCGCGAAATAAAGTGAGAGAGAAAAGCAATAAGCTGTCATGTCAAGTCGAGCACTACATCTGTATATATGGATGGCTTCATGAACGAATCGTTTTTGATAACCAGTAGGCTTGCAAAGTACCATCGTCTTAGAGAAATCAATTTCACGTGAGCAGCCCCATTACAGTAATGATCAGCCACGGCAGAAGTATTGGTCCTGCCGTGTTTCAGATCTGCCTTATGTTCACCAACACGGTCCGACACATGTCGCGTAGTTTCCCCAATGTAACTGCTGCCGCAGATACAACTTAGTTTGTAGACGCCGGGATATTGCATGTCAGAAATCTTGTCCTTCACAGATGGGATCAGATCACGAATGTTATGCAATGTTTTAAATCTGACCTGGATCTTGTGTTTGTTCAACATTTTGGAAATCTTTTGGGTTATCCCTGCTATGTAAGGGAATGGTGATGGTTTTGATTTGATCTTCAGATGGCTCCTTTAACCACGGTTGGGGTGATGGCTTTGCGGATTGTGTAGTCAGAATATCCATTCACCTTGAGAGCTTGGTGTATGTGTTTGAGTTCACTGGTTAGGTGTTCATGATCGGAGATACATTGAGCTCTATGGTGTAGCGTTTTTGATGAAGGAATTCTTCTGGGATGGATGGTGATGGCAATCAGGTTTTAGGAAGTTGTTGGTATGGGTTACTTTTCCGTAGACAGAATGGCTCATTGAGCAATCTGGTCCCTTTTTGATTAAGACATCCGACTGTACACTAAACTAAACACTACACCATCACACACCATCACCATCACACAGCGTCATCGCAGCGTCACCACACAAGAGATCACGTGGAGGCGTGGTGACGTCATCGTTTACCTGCGCCGAAATTCCACCAATGGGTCGTCTTCTCCTCCTCTGTGTGGGGGAGTTGCACAGACAGGTTAGTTTTACATACTCACATATATACATTATACACTATACTACTATATACTACTACATACTACACTATTATATTCTACTACACTACACTCCTATACAGTACACTATACACTACTGCACACTATACTAAAATATACCACTACACTCTACACTAATACACACTATTGTATACTCTACACTACTATACATTACACCCTACACTACTACACACTAAACTACGCTATACACTACAGTACCATTATCATACAACATCACACAACATCACCATCACACCGCATCACGATCAAGCAGCGTCATCACAGCGTCACCACACAAGTGATCACGTGGAGGCGTGGTGACGTCATCATTTACCTGCGCCGAAATTCCACCATTTGGTCGACTTTTCTGTGTGGGGGAATTTTCACAAAGGTTAGTTCTACATACTCACACACAGATATACACAGTATACACTATATACTACTACACACTACTACACTACTATATATAGTGCTACACTACTATTTTCTACTACATACTACACTACTATATTCTACTACTAGACTAATACACACGACAACACACTGCACAACTGTATTCGAGTACACACTACACTAGAATATACCACACTACTATATACTACACTATACACTACCACACACTACACGGCTATACACTACACGTCACTACATACTATATTACTATATACTATACTACCATACACTGTTACACCATATACTTCTACAAACTAAACTAACATATCTTACACTAATATATTGTACACTACACTACTATCCACTACTATATACTACACTATGCAATACACTACCATACACTACTACACTATATACACTACTAAACTACAACACACTGAACTATGCACTACATTATTCCACACGACACTAATTTATACTACACTGCTATAAAATACACTGCTATATACCACACTATATACTACACTACACACTACAAAATCACCATCACACACCATCACCATTATAAAGCATCACCATCAAACAACGTCATAGCAGCGTCACACACAAGCGATCACGTGGAAGTGATTTGAGGAGGAAGGTTTTGAACAAGGATCGATCGGGGAAAAAAGAGAGGATCAGTTAGAGGGTAAGAACAGGGACTGGCTCAGGGAAAAACAAGGACAATAATCTTCCGCAAAGGGGGCTTGAGAAGTATAAAAGGGGACAGCACGAGGAATGGGGACGTGCGGATAAAGTTACAAACTGAAGATAAAAGCACGGGGCCTAGGGTTCCTTATTGTGGCTGTGACCCAATGAAGTGTCTCTCATTATATCGTCGTCAGAGTCGTTAGATATACACTACACCATACACTATTATAACACACCACACTACTATAATCTACTACATTACTATATACAACACTCTACACTACTATATACTACTCCACTACTATTTACTACACTACTACACTACAACACAACTATATACTACTGTACACCAACTGTACACTACTATATACACTATACTACACTGTACAAAACTGTACATTACACTGCTATATACACTGTACGCTACTGTACACTATATTCTTGGTTCTTTCGGTAAAGTTACGTAGATAGAAAATCTAAATCGAATTTAAAATAAATTTAAAATAAAAGCAAAAAACCACGACGTTTCGATCGCAATACAAGCTGTCTTCATCAGGCGGAGAGAAAAGAGAGGGAAAGCCTCCAAATGCAACTGTTTATCAGGGCTTTTAAAGTGAGCACAGCTGTGCGGCGTAAACAGCATGGGCGGTTTAGCCAGCGCCAATGTAGGAGCAAAGCACCAGAAGTACAAGTAAAGAAAGTGTGTTAGACAACGGGGGTAGGGAGGGCGCAGAGATAGGGGGAGAGAGAGGGAGGGTAGAGATAGAGGTGGAGCTGAAGGCGCGGGGCACAGTCCAAGTGTGTTAGACAATGCGGGGAGGAAGAGGGAAGAGATAGGGGGGAGAGAGAGGGAGGTAGAGATGGGGGGGAGGATTGCACCTCGCTACACCCATCCACACTGCTGACGGTAGAGATTGACAATAAAGCACAAATCAAGTCATGACCCAAAGTGGTTGATGACATCTTTCCAATGATTGCCGAGTTTAAAACCGTCGTCTCGGTTGAAATTGTGTCTGTGTAGTGCCTGAAACACGCGCCACACGCGGGAGTGGGTGTACGCGGGCGCAGAGTACAGTGGGACCAAACGAGGTCGAGGTTGTTATTGTCGTTAGGCGTGAGCAGAAGACCAGAGATGGGTTGGGGGCGATTAAGGACACAGGGCACTGATTGGCTGGGAGTTGTTATTGTCCAAATGTGATGCCACGCTGTCTGACGACAGTAACAGGTGGTAGGGGGGGATTAAGGACGCAGGGGGCTGATTGGCCGGGAAGTTGTTGTTGTGGCTAAGTGGCGCCGTGTTGTCTGGAAAACGTGGCAGGTGCCAAAGGGGGCTAGGGGGTGATGGGCGTCGAGGGGATGCCACCGATTAATTGGAGATTAATTGGCTTGGGGATGAAGAGAGGGGGTTTTGAAGCAGACGAGAGTTCGCGCCTGGGAGGAGAAGGAGGATGTTGGAGCTGAAGCCGCGGAGCAAGAAGCAGTGGAGAAGTATAGGGTAGCAGTGGAGAGGTATAGGGTAGCAGTGGAGAAGTGTAGGGTAGCAGTGGAAAAGTATAAGGTAGCAGTGGAGAAGTATAGGTTGGCAGTGGAGTAGTGTAGGGTAGCAGTGGAGAAGTGTAGGGTAGCAGTGAAGAAGTATAGGGTAGCAGTGGAGAAGTATAAGGTAGCAGCGCAGAACTATATGGTAGCAATGGAAAAGCCAGCAGAAGTGGCTGGAGTGTGACGGCGAAGCCAGCAGACTAGCCGTAGCTTCAGCCGCACCAACCTTATCATAATAATAAACAGGACCCTGCGGGGTGGGCTGGTAGGAACGAATAACCAAAGAATATAAACATAATGTATTATTACATTTGTTTAGCCAGGAAAGCCCCACTGAGTCAAAAGGTTTTTGTAGGGTCCTGCCAAGTGTTTGCAGTAGGGGGCGATGTTGGTAAACCTAATCGGACAATACGAAGGGAGAGATTGAGGCCTAGTTCTAGGCTTTAAGCCTAGCTGTAGGCTTTAGGGCACTGTGAGTTAATTTTTAATTTAAATGTTTTAATTATTTCTGTAAAAGCTTTAAATTTAAATGTTTCTATTTAAAAACATGAGGGAATGTAACATTGTTAAACATTAACTCCCTTTCACACACGCGGGGGTACGATACGAAGGGAGAGTTTCAGGCCTAGTTCTAGGCTTTAGGCCTAGCTGTAGGCTTTAGGGCGCTGTGCGTTTTTTTATTTAATTTCAAAGTTTTAATTAAAAGCTATCTCAGGGAATTATAAGGGAATGTTACACGTGTTTAGCCAGGAAAGCCTCATTAATTTAAATGTTTTAATTAAAAGCTATCTGAGGGTATTATAAGGGAATGTTACACTTGTTTAGCCAGGAAAGCGTCACTGAGTCTAAAGGTTTTTGTAGGGTCATGCCAAGTGTTTGCAGTAGGGGGCGATGTTGCTACACGGACGGACGGACGGACAGACGAAATAATCTATTGGTGGCTGGTCCACTTCGTTCCTACCAGTAAAAACTCCTATCCAGGGGCCTACCCTGGCTCCTCCCCCCTCAACCAGTATATATATACAAGGTCGGATCTCTTGGAATTTCTCATTTACTTGATACAGCAAGCATGCTGTGACGGTTCTACCTGAAGACGGAAGCCTGTGTTGCCTCTGAAACGTCGTGATTTTTATTTTATTTTACTTTTTTTAATTTAAATGTTTTACCTACGTGACTTTACCGGAAAAAAACTAAGAATACAGCTGGAGTGTGACGGCGAAGCCAGCAGAAAGCGGCTGGAGTGTGGCGGAAAAGCCGATAGTGATATGGCTGAGTGTGACGGGAGAGCCGATAAATAGCGGCTGAACTGACGGAGAGAGTGGAGAGGAGAGTCGACGGAGGAGAGACGCGGAGCGAGCGAGGGGAGAGCGCGGGAGGATTGTTGATTGGTGTTAGCTGGAGGAATGTTGATCGGTATTAGCGAAATAAAGTGAGAGAGAAAAGCAATAAGCTGTCGTGTCAAGTCGAGCACTACATCTGTATATATGGATGGCTTTTCGTGAACGAATCGTGTTTGATAACCAGTTGGCTTGCAAAGTACCATCGTCTTAGAGAAATCAATTTCACGTGAGCCAGCCGCATTACAGTAATGATCAGCCACGGCAGAAGTGTTGGTCCTGCCGTGTTTGAGATCTGCCTTATGTTCACCAACACGGTCCGAGACATGTCGTTTAGTTGCCCCAATCTAACTGCTGCCGCAGATACAACTTAGTTTCTAGACGCCGGGATATTGCATGTCAGGAATCTTGTCCTTCACAGATGGGATCAGATCACGAATGTTATGCAATGTGTTAAATCGGACCTGGATCTTATGTTTGTTCAACATTTTGGAAAACTTTTGGGTGATCCCTGCTATGTAAGGGAAGGGTGATGGTTTTGATTTGATCTTCAGATGGCTCCTTCAACCACAGTTGGGGTGATGGCTTTGCAGATTGTGTAGTCAGAATATCCATTCACCTTGAGAGCTTGGTGTATGTGTTTGAGTTCACTGGTTAGGTGTTCATGATCGGAGATACATTGAGCTCTATGGTGTAGCGTTTTTGATGAGGGAATTATTTTGGGATGGATGGTGATGGCAATCAGGTTTTAGGAAGTTGTCGGTATGGGTTACTTTTCCGTAGACAGAATGGCTCATTGAGCCATCTGGTCTTTTTTGATTAAGACGTCCGACTGTACACTAAACTAAACACTACACCATCACACACCATCACCATCACACAACGTCATCGCAGCGTCACCACACAAATGATCACATAGAGGCGTGGTGACGTCATCGCAGCATCACCACACAAGAGATCACGTGGAGGCGTGGTGGTGCCATCGTTTACCTGCGCCGAAATTCCACCAATGGGTCGACTTCTCCTCTGTGTGGGGGAGTTGTACAGACAGGTTAGTTTTACATACTCACATATATACATTATACACTATACTACTATATACTACTACATACTACACTATTAAATTCTACTACACTACACTCCTATACAGTACACTATACACTACTGCACACTATACTAAACAATACCACTACACGCTACACTAATACACACTATTGTATACTCTACACTACTATACATTACACCCTACACTACTACACACTAAACTACGCTATACACTACAGTACCATTATCATACAACATCACCATCACACCGCATCACGATCAAGCAGCGTCATCACAGCGTCACCACACAAGAGATCACGTGGAGGCGTGGTGACGTCATCATTTACCTGCGCCGAAATTCCACCAGTTGGTCGACTTCTCTGTGTGGGGGAATTTTCACAAAGGTTAGTTCTACATACTCACACACAGATATACACAGTATACACTATATACTACTACACACTACTACACTACTATATATAGTGCTACACTACTATTTTCTACTACATACTACACTACTATATTCTACTACTAGACTAATACACACGACAACACACTGCACAACTGTATTCGACTACACACTACACTAGAATATACCACACTACTATATACTACACTATACACTACCACACACTACACGGCTATACACTACACGTCACTACATACTATACTACTATATACTATACTACCATACACTGTTACACCATATACTTTTTCAAACTAAACTAACATATCCTACACTAATATATTGTACACTACACTACTATCCACTACTATATACTACACTATGCAATACACTACCATACACTACTACACTATATACACTACTAAACTACAACACACTGAACTATGCACTACATTATTCCACACGACACTAATTTATACTACACTGCTATAAAATACACTGCTATATACTACACTATATACTACACTACACACTACAAAATCACCATTACACACCATCACCATTATAAAGCATCACCATCAAACAGCGTCATAGCAGCGTCACACACAAGCGATCACGTGGAAGTGATTTGAGGAAGAAGGTTTTGAACGAGGATCGATCGGGGCAAAAAAAGAGGATCAGTTAGAGGATAAGAACAGGGACTGGCTCAGGGAAAACAAGGACAAGAATCTTCCGCAAAGGGGGCTTGAGGAGTATAAAAGGGGACAGCACGAGGAATGGGGACGTGCGGATAAAGTTACAAACTGAAGATAAAAGCACGGGGCCTCGGGTCCCTTATTGTGGCTGTGACCCAATGAAGTGTCTCTCATTATATCGTCGTCAGAGTCGTTAGATATACACTACACTATACACTACTATACACTACTACATTACTATATACTACAACACACTACACTACTATATACTGCTCCACTACTATTTACTATATTACTACGCAACTATATACTACTGCACTACAACTCTACTATATACTACACTGTACACTACTATACACTGCTGGATACACTACACTACTATATATTACACTGTACACTACAACAAACTACACAACTACACAATACGCTATACACTACAGTATCATTATCATACAACATCACACAACATCACCATCACACCGCATCACGATCAAGCAGCGTCATCACATAAGCGATCACGTGGAGGCTTGGTGACGTCATTGTTTACCTTCGCCGAAAGCCCACCAGTTGGTCGACTTCTCCTCCGTCTCTGTTTGGGGGAGTTGCACAGACAAGTTAGTTCTACATACTCACACATATATATACACAGTATACACTATATACTAATACACACCACTACACTACTATATAGTACTAAACTACTATATACTACTACACACTGCAACACACTGCAAACTACACAACTGTATTCTACTACACACTACACGACAATATACTGCACTACTATTTGCTACACTATACACTACCACACACTACATTGCTATACACTACACGCCACTACACACTTTAATATTATAAAATACACTACTATACACTGCTACACTATATACTTCTACAAACTAAACTAATATATCCTACACTACTATGATGTATACTACACTACTATCCACTACTAGATACTACGTTATGCAATACACTACTATACACTACTACGCTATATATTACACTACAATACACTACTAAACTACAACACACTATTATACACTGCACTATGCACTACATTATTCCACACTACACTGCCATACACTACACTGCTATATACTGCACTATACACTACTACAAACTACTGCTTCACCATCAGCATTAGACAGCATCATCATCGTCAAGCAGCGTCAGGAAAGCATCACCACACAAGCGATCACGTGGAAGTGTGGTGACGTCATCATTTACCTGCGCCGAAATTCCACCAGTGGGTCGATTCTGTATGGGGGAGTTGTACAGACAGGTTAGTTCTACATACTCACACATATATACACTATACGCTATACTTCTATATACTACACTACTATATTCTGCTACTCACTACACTACTGTGGTGCCGCAGCAACGGAGCAACTCTGCCAGCACTGCTATTCCCTCGCAACCCCCCACACGAACGCACGCACACCCCCTCCAAACACAGACGTGCCCCCACGTAGGGCCTCGTGGGGGGTTCATACTCTTAGGTTTTTTCGGTAAAGTCACGTAGGTAAAAAAATAAAATTAAAAGTTAATAATGGAAATAAGATAAAATAATAAAGTACGACGTTTCGGAGGCAACACAAGTCTCCGTCATCAGACTTGTGTTGCCTCCGAAACGTCGTGATTTATTATTTTACTTTATTTCCATTATTAACTTTTAATTTAGTTTTTTACCTACATGACTTTACCGAAAAAACCTAAGAGTATGAATCCTTGCAATCACGAAAGCTTCAAACCTCGTGGGGGGGTCATCTGGCACCAGAGGTCGCAACCGGGTACCCGATACCCGGCCGGGTACGGGCACGGATAGCCGTTTGCGACCCTGGTGCGGCCGGTTACGGGTAGGCCGTGAGTCACTTTGTCACTCATTTCGGGTAGGGTACGGGTACGCATTTGCGACCCTGGTGCGGCCGGGTACGGGTAAGGAATCAAAACCCGTTTGCGACCTCTGCCTGGCACCCTGGGTGTTTACCCGAGGGCCCCCTCGTGGCGATGTCTCACGGTTTGGCCGACCACCCCCCCCCCGCAGGCCAAATTGCCCTGCGGCCCCGTGGATTAACTTAAATTTGTATGGCCATGGCGAGCTCACTGAGCAACCGCGATGAGCACACACTGACCACAGGGGAATAGGGCCGTGGGGAGAGCAAAACGCCTAGCGAGCTGGGTAAAGCTAAACCGAGACCAGAGTACGGGAGGGAGGACGGGCGCGTAGGCAATAGAGTAGGGTGCGAGGGAGAGCCACCTGCCAGGTAGGGGGACGCGGCAGCTGTGCATCCCCCCCCCCCCCCCCCCCCCCGTATTGTTAAAAACCACCATAAAAAAGGAGCTGAGCCAGGTGGAGACGGGGCGTCGGTTGAAAAAATCGATAAGTAGGGACCCGATTGGCCGCGCAGAAAAGACGACCCGAGATGGGGTTTTTTGAATAGGGACAGTTCTTCTCCAGTCAGGGAGCTACCCAGTCGGACTCCCAGCCGCTCGAGCGTCCGAGAGACACTGGCGAGTGCCGCTACGACTCGACCCAGGCAGAGACCTCCCGGACCCTGGTCCCTCCGACTCCCATTGCGTCCGTGAGAAACCGTCAGGACGTAAGAGGGGTGAGGAATAGCGCGAGGGTTCCCCGAGGGTTTGGGTAGAGATAGGCGGGACGCTGCTCGCTAGATGGTTTTGCATCCGGCCCAAGCAGGGCTTTTCTTCGGGTACCCCATTAATAAACTTTAGCGCAGAGCAAACAACGCCGCGTGATTTCTGTGTGTGTGGAGAGAGCGTAGGGGTGGTGTGGGTACGTGCATACGTGTGAAGTGCGCGGGTATTCAGTCCTAAAAACGATCGTTGACGTTCGCGTGCGATCGCGTGCGTATTTACCTAGCGCGTTTTACGCCGCACCACCTCTACATAATAATAGGCTCAGTCAACCATTCTACACAACAAAGACTAATTTCCTGGCAGAGAATTCAGCCGCCATCACCTCTACATAACAAAAAGGCTCAGTCCCTTTTACACGCACCTTTACATCAGCCGCACCTAGTTTACACAACAAAGGCTCATTCCTAACAGCGTGCTTCAGCCGCACCAAATCAGGGCCTACCTTGGCTCCTCCCACCATCAACCAGTATATCTACAAGGACTGTTTTCTTGGAATCTCTCTCACTTGATACAGCTATCGTGCTGTGACGGTTCCACCTGAGGACGGAGGCTTGTGTTGCCCCCGACAACGTCGTGATTTTTATTTTATTTTTATTTTACTTTTATTAATTTTAAATTTTTACCTACGTGACTTTACCGAAAAAACCTAAGAATATTTACGCAGTGGATTTACGTAGCGACGATCGCCTTGAGGGCGTCGGTGTGGTTTCGTAATTTGAGCGTGGGTGCGAGTGAGGCTGCGCTCTATAGTAACTTTATATTGGTGAATTTTAAAACGTTTTGGTTTAGCCATGTTTGTTTATTGTAGTACAGAGTTAGCCTGATAACTGGTTGTTATTGTTTGACTTGCATCCAACTGGGATTTTTGTGCACAGCGTTGAAATACGGTGTTTTTTCTGGAAGACGTTTGCTGCTTTTTCCTGGATTTTTCTGTTGTGTGTAGTCACTTGAAGATGTTTCTTGTTCATGTTTTTGTTTGTTGCGGTTGCACCCGAGTCAAGAGCCGCATGGCTCACAGGGTTAGTTCGAAAGTTATCATTGATTGATTTAGTCTGTAATCAGTCCAGCAAACGTCTGCATTGATCATGGCACGAGTTATGCTGACATTTTTGCTATTAAGCTTGCTGACAATCACGTAGTCCAGTAAATTATATTGGTGTGATCAGGGGTGACCCCGGGAGGTCTTAGGCCTATTTATCTCCCTGAATATGGTGTTGGTGATTGTCAGGTCGTGCTCAGAGCAGGTTGCTACTAGAAGGTGACCATTGGAGTTGGACTTTGCAAGTCCGTTTTTCACAATTACGCCCTTCCACATTTGGTAGTCTCTCCCAAATCTAGCATTGAATTTGCCAAGGAGAATCAGCTCGTCAATTTTCGGTGTACTCTGAAGGATTTAGTTGAGTTGGCTGTGGTAGATCTCCTTGGTGTCTCCCTCCGAGTCCAGTCCTGGTGTGTAGGTGCCCATAATGGTTAAGTGTTGGTCAGGCGTAGGGTCATAAAACGCTAATTGATGCCAATTGGGAGCCCACTGAGGTTGTTGACGAGCTTGTTGTCGGTTACAAAACCCATGGCATGCAGGTGTTGTTCATCTGCAGGTTTACCCTTCCAAAAGAAGGTGTAGCCTCCACTTGCTTTTCATCAACCAGACGGGTTTTGCTGAGGGCTGGAATATAGATGTTAAACTGTCTCCGCTCACATGCCACAATGGCCGTTCTGCGCTCTGGACAGTGCAAGTTTGGGTTGTCTGTGAGGGTCCTGACATTCCAGGATCCAATGTTAAGGTTATACTTCTTCTTGTTTCGACCGTAAGTATTCATGCTCCCTCTGGTCACGGTCAGCCAGACAGGATGTTGCTAGGCAGACTACGTTTAGGGCACCTTTGCTAGCCCTATCCCCCATTTGGGGTGACCAGAATGTTTCCTTGTGGGATGCTCAGTCACAGCTACAGCTGCCGGGATGCACTCCTGCCGAATCCGAGTGCATGACGACTTTCTAATAGCTGACGCCTTGTGACTTGGTGCTGGCTCGTGACTTGGAGCGTTTAGCTCCAAAGGCTTGCTCCGCTCGCCACTTGCCAATCACCCAAGGACTTTGGGTATGTAGTGTGCGGGTTAGATGGCACTGTTCCTGGAGAGTGCCAGTGCGTGAAGGAATTTACGTGCAGTGTCTGTTGTACACCAGGCTCCCGCACAAAGCTCGGCCAGGAAGCAAGCCTGGGCCCAATGGCAAAGCAGGAAACGGAGGTGATTGGAAGGCTTTGTCCTGAAGCACCAGACATCACGTGGCTCCTCCGTGATGTGCCCTTGGCCATCTGGACCGCAGCTCGTCTGCCCAACCAGGGTGAGCCGTTGGCCACTTTGTATGCACCCCGGGATTTTGTCCAGCAAACACTTTAGCACTAACTAGTCGTGTGCGTGTTGGAGAGTTAACCCAACACGACGACAACATTTACAATTCAAGTAAGACGGGTTCATAGCGCAGCCCGCTCACCATGGCACCACCGCTCACGACACACACACACGTGTACACACAAACACACGTGGACACACAAACACACACACGTGTACACACAAACACACACACGTGTACACACAAACACACACGTGTACACAGAAACACACACACGTGTACACACAAACACACACGTCTACACACAAACACGTGTACACACAAACACACACACGTGTACACACAAAAACGTGTACACACAAACACGTATACACACAAACACACACACGTGTACATACAAACACGTGCTGTACTCACTTTTAGCCTCCGCGGGCGCTAGCGAGAAGCCTAAGATGATCGTCACGCCGAGGACGGTTATCCATTGTGACGTCATAGTTCAAGCAGTAGTTGTGGGGAGCCAATGAGAATGACAGCAACTGCAACCTGCATATCATCACACAAAGACAAAGATTCCCACGTGCAGCCTC